CAGCTAGAGCCTCTCGGCGAAAACGCACATGGCGACATGGGCTAGACGTGAATGCTTTGTGAACCTCGGCTGGGACACTATCGATATAGAGGGTCGGCTAGGACAGAGATCCGGACTGACGGGCCTCGTCGAGTGTTGCTAAAGCATTACTATGTGTTGGAAGATCCGTTGCTCCTTTCCCACATCTCGATCATGGGGGCACGGGGGTGGGTGGTCGACAAGGATGCGGTTCCCTGTTGTTGGTGGGCGAATGACGCCAATCCACTGACTGACAAGCTTTGAACAAGCATCGACAAGCACAACCAAGAGATTTCCAAGCAGCAACAAGCATTGGACCAGAGATTTGCGCACAGCGGCTGCTTACTACTTGCCATTCTTACCCGTGGCAATCCCCATCCGTCGAAATATTCGCTTGAGTGCGTGTGTGTGTGTGCCATTCATCGGCACGGGTATTGCAAAGTCGAACCAACAAACGATGGAAGGACCCGATGGGAAGGATCTAGGGCCCCTGCAGCCACCCAGCGGCTGTTCGAGAAGGAACAAAAATGAGAGGAGGCTGTGTGCGGAGCGTTTGCCAGCCCATCATCCACTCACCCGAAAAGGCGTTTACCACCATCGCTTGAGGGGGGGTGTCCAGGCAAGTTGAGACGGTCTACCCCAGACGAGTTGCGGGTGCGGAGTAGAGCCTGGGGAAAACAAGGACCTCTGAATCTTTGAGTCCCTCTCATCTTGTGGGGGATCGCGACCAAGCCCCCTCTTTCTCTCCACCACCGACCCTGGGGGAGGGGGAGACCAAACGGGGCGAGTTGACGTGGAGACTTCGGCAGAGAGAACAGCGGTGTTTGGCCTCTCCACTCGAGCACGCCTTGAGACTATGAGAGTCACGGCTCAGCGGACACCGGAGGCTATTTGGCTCTGGCAGTGCCAAGGTGAAGCTGTCCATGCATGCGAAGCACGCGCGCTTGGTACGCTAGCAAGGCTAGGTTGATACACAATCTGACAAGATGCGCTAGGTTGTTGGAGAAGCTCGTGTGGATGGATGGAGAGGGCCGATATGTGGCCCAAGGGCTAAACACATGGAGCTAACTTTCAAGCATATTTTCTGGGTCTGGCCTTTGGCTCTGGGGACGTGGAGACATGGAGACGCTCCCCCGTCCTCCACCGGGCGGCAGAGGGGGGTCTAGGCCGATCCCAACCCCATTGGTGTAAGCAAGGGGAGGGGGCTCATCGACAGCTGGCCCATGTCCGTCGTTCCTTTCCCTCTGGTCTGGTCAACGGGGAAGTCTGTGCTGCGCTGTCGCGTTGCGATTGTTGATTCATTTAAAGCTCGAGGGCATCCCTCCTTTTCAGCGTCAGTTGTACGAGGTTGCGCTGTCTCTTGTCCTTTCTTCGGTTCTTGTTGCGACTTACACCAGTCTTGGCGCGCGCCAACAACCACGAGATACCCACCCACACGACCACCGCACAGTTTTTCTTGGAAACGTCGCAATAGACGGCTTCATCCTCCTTCTGTCAGAAGCTTTCCAGAGAAAGGTATGTGATCTTGTTCACACTCCTGATCGGGCCCTGATTCTGGCGCCAAACATGGTTGCGACGCACCGCGCTATGTCCCTCTACACATGACATTTCTTATGCTGTGCAATCTCATCTTCGCACCTTACCCGTATCACATATACCCCTCACAAAAGCACCGAGATGGTCACACTGCAGAGACACTGTCTCAGTGTTTATCCCAAGCTGGGGTCTCACTTCGGCACATTGTCCCGTTGAAAACACTCAGCTGCAAAATATTCCGAGAAGTAGAGCAAAAGCTAGAAGAAGAGCAAAAGCTGACTTGGTCCCAGTCTCTTATCGTTGAGCCGCAAAAGCTCAGAACGCAATCCCGTCAGCCATGTCGTCCACCGACCAAGATGTCAAGGTCGACCCGGCCGCGCCCGTTCACAAGGAGCAAGAGTCCATCGATGTCGACTACGCGAGCGACCCCGAACGCCACGGCTTCGATGCCCAGGCGACCAAGAAGCTCCTGCGCAAGATTGATTGGGCTTTGATTCCTTTCCTCGCTCTGCTCTACCTCCTCTCTTTCCTCGACCGTACCAACATTGGCAATGCCCGTCTCGCCGGCATCGAGGCGGACCTAGGCATGAAGGGTCTACAGTACAATGTCGCCCTCGCCGTCTTCTTCCCGTTTTACGTCGCGGCAGAGATTCCTTCCAACATGGCTATGAAGCGCTTCCGCCCTTCCATCTGGATTCCCTCGATCATGGTGTAAGTAGACGCGTTGGGATCTTTTCGTCAGCCACACGTTGGGCTTGGTGATAAATCAGAACTAACCCGCCCGCTAGCGCTTGGGCTATTTGCACGACTCTCATGGGTCTCGTCACCAACTATGGTGGACTCCTCGCCGCTCGCATGGCTCTTGGTGTTGCTGAGGGTGGTGTAAGTCTTTAAACTCGTTGTCAACAGTATAGCTGTCGGATCTGACTCTGTGCAAAGCTTTTTCCCGGTGTCACCTACTACATCAGTAAGTTCAGCTGCTGTCCACCGAGTTGGGCCAGCGTTTGCTAACTTTTGCAGCCATGTGGTACCGTCGCAGGGAGTGTGGCCTTCGCATGGCCATCTTCTTCTCCGCCGCCACTGCCGCCGGCGCCTTTGGTGGTCTCCTTGCCCGTGGCATCGTCGAGATGGACGGACTTGGCAACCTCGACGGCTGGGCCTGGATTTTCATCCTCGAGGGTCTCCTGACCTTTGTCGTCGGTATGTTTCTCCAGCAACAACTGCGAAGACCACACGCTAACGTCCAGCAGCCATCATTGCCTACTTTGTCATGCACGACTACCCTAACACGGCCCGGTTCCTCACGACACCTGAGAAGGAGGAAGTTCTCCGCCGCCTGGAACACGACCGCTCGTCGCTCGCGGATGAGTTTGACATGCGCTACTTCTGGGATGCTCTCAAGGACTGGAAGATCTGGGTTCACATGGTAAGCGACGCGCTTTTGCCCAAAGGGTCAAAAGTATCGCGTGCTGACGACTGAAACAGTTCATCACCATCGGCATCTACACCCCTCTGTACTCTTACGCCCTGTTCCTGCCCACCATTGTCCGTGGCCTCGGCTACAGCAACGAGACGGCCCAGCTGATGACCGTTCCGCCTTACATCGTGGCGTGCGTGTGCTGTGTTACCGCCGGCTGGTATGCCGATCGCGTCGGGCAGCGTGGCATCTTCATGATCTTTTTCATTGCGTTTCGTAAGCTCACCCCCCTTCTTGATCACTCATCAGAGTGCACATGACTTACATAGCAACCAGCATCCTCGGCTTCCTCCTCCTCATCGTCTCCCAGAACAACCAGGTCAAGTACGCCGGCTGCTTCTTCGCTGCTATGGGTATCTACCCCAACGTACCCCAGGGTGTAGCCTGGAACGGCAACAACATTGGTGGCTCCCTGAAGCGTGGTGTTGGCATTGCCATGCACGTTGGCTTCGGTAACCTCGGTGGTGCCATCTCCGGCTTCATCTACCAGTCCACCCACGGCCCCGAGTTCTACCCCGGCCACGGCACCCTGCTCGGCACCCTGACCATGTCTCTGGTGCTCAGCATCTTCATGCACATCTACCTGCGCCGCGAGAACGCCCGCCGTGACCGCGAGTACAAGAAGCCCGAGGAGTACACCGCCGCCGAGAGGGCGCTCGAGCGCGAGAAGGGTGACAACGCAACTTTCTTCCGTTACACGATTTAAAGCACCGGAGGGGTTCGACGACTTGGGTGGCATGGGGGGTTGGAGGAGTTGGCCATTGGCTTATGTTTGCACAATAACGGTATTCCTGGGTTAGACTGTATTTGAGAGGACAGGGTTGGGAGTTATGACCGCCCGACATAGATTTTGTCCCCATCATGACATGACATAGAGTCGGTGGTGCCTCATCAATACATGTACTCATCTGCAAATTTCTGGTTCGATTCAACGGGCGTGAGTGAGACGATGCGAGTTGCCATTCGTCTGCCTTAGCCTGAGTCTCAAGTCTGTTTGAAGAGGCGACGGTCGGCAGAGCTGGTAGACGTTCTGCGCTCAATTCTCGCACCATAGTGAAGCGATGTGTCGAGCCCGAGCACGACGCAGTTGAGGATTTTCCCTTTGCTCTCCAATTCGCACCCCCCTTGACAGTGAGGTCAACATGCGTCGTCTGACACTCGCGCGCCAAGTCTTTTCGATGCCGACGCCTCCTTCGCCTCATGGGCTCTAGACGCCGTACCCCTGAAAGCCACGAAGCGTCAGTGGCGTGATGGAGAATCCAGGCTAAAATACAGGGCACCCTGCTACCACAAATATTGACATCATGGTCAGGTCGGCATTTGGATGCCAGGTCGGAACCCCTTGATGACGACGGTTCACGTTGGCGGGCGGGTTGTTTTGAGATTCGAGGGCATCGCATTGTGCTGTCAAGTCACGGTCATGAATGCGGAAAGAATCCCAATGGGGCTTGGACGGTATTTTAGGTCACTTATTGCTGTGGTTCTTCTGCTGGCCTTGCGGTCTCATCAACTCTGCCTGAGACGCTATCACACCGTTTGTTGAAAAGGCCACGCAGCCAGAGCAGTGGCAGTGAGGTTTTGTTACGCTCGAATGATGGAAGTGTTCTCTGCTCCAGTAATTTTCGCAAGCGAAGCAAGCCTATTTAGTTTAGCAGCTCTCACTCTCACTGAGTTCACATGACGGATTGACCCCCAGCATTGCATTCTGTCTACATCTTTTCATAATAAGTCTCTATCAGAAGGCCCAAGCAAGAAAACAACAAGCCTACGAACACATCCGACCACCAGATGAGCTATCTCATAGTTATGCATTACCATATTAATGTTCTTCTTTGTAAACAATGCCATGTGAACCCCCAATACCGTCATGATCACGTTTCGAAAATGCAAAACTCCGACCCATGCATCACCCCCCGTCAGCAAACCAGCAAAGAGCACAGCACCAGGCCCCGCTCTCGGCTTTCCCTTCCTACGCATTCAGCGTCCCCGGCCTCCGCAGCTCCTCCCCCCTCGCCTCCTCCTCATCGGTATCGTCCGCCGGCCGCTCGAGCGCGAGCACCTGCTGGCAAAACGGGCTCCTCTCGCGGATAGACCGGCCGCAGCGGATGAAGACAAAGGGGATGACGGCCATGGCGAGGGCCACGAGGCCGAGCAACGAGCAGGCCCAGGCGATGCCGAGGCGGGCGTACATGGGCCGCGTCGCGAGGGGCAGGCACACGGCGCAGACGGAGCGCGTCGTGCTGGCGGCCGTGTGGGCCGAGGCCGAGAACTGGCGGTACGCGTCGGTGAGGTAGTTGAGCATGGCCATGAAGATGAGGAGGTAGCCGGCGCCGAAGAGGAAGCCGGACATCATGGGCACGGCCGGGTGGACGGTCGCGCGGGAGGACCAGCCGAGCCAGAAGAGGGAGAGGGACAGCCTGAGTGTGTTAGTGTCGGCACAAGAAAGAATTCGGTGCTGGCGCGAGCTACAGCTGAAAAGAGAAAAGAAGCATGGAGACGTGGGGGGCACGTACGCTGGCCCGCCGATGCAGGCGAGGGGCAGCCGGCGGTACTCGTCCTGACGCGTCCAGGACGCGCCGCGGCGCAGGGCGGCGGCGTGGTAGGCGCTGAACCACATGAAAACGGCGAGGGCAGCGGCCGAACCGCCGAGGACGGGCAGGAAGGCGAGGCCCACGAAGCCGGGCTCCATGTCGTAGACGCCCTGGAAGATGATGGGGTAGGCCTGGAAGAAGAGGTAGAGGATCGAGTAGACGAGCGCCATGTAGAGCGAGGAGAAGAGCACGACGGGCTCCCGCACCATCATGGTGAAGGGCCGCGCGAAGATGACCTGGATGTTGCCGCTCAGCGTCTCCGTCTTGGTGAGGGCCGGCATGTCGGGGTCGTCCCGGCTGGCCTTCTCGGCCTGGCTAGCCCTCTCGGCTTTGCGGGCCTTCTGCTTGAGGCGGCGGCGGATGACGGGCACGTACGTCTCGGGCAGCGTGATGAGGGCGGGGAGGCCGAGGCCCACGAGGGCAAGGCCGATCCAGAAGGTCAGGCGCCAGTCGATGGTCGAGGCGAAGCCGGAGATGATGGGGCCCAGGGGCGGTCCGATGGTCGTGGCCGTCATGAAGTAGGCAAGCACGCGGCCCCGCTGGATCGGTTCGTCGTAAATGTCGGCGAAGAGCCCACCGACGACGGCGTTGGTGCATGCAGCGTTCATGCCGCCGAGGAGGCGGAAGACGAGCAGGGCGGGATACGAAGGTGCGACGGCGCAAGCGAGTGTGAAGATGCAGTAGCCGACGTAGGCTGCGAGCAGCACGCGCGAGCGGCCGGCGTACTCACTCATGGGTCCAAAGAAAAGGGGTCCGACGGAGTAACCGACGAGAAACAGGGAGTTGAGGGAGGACGAAAATGGGTCGGGTTGGTGACGGAGAAGTCGTCGGCGATCCAGCTCACTGCGCCGGGACCGGCAGAGAGGACCCGATGGCGCTGTTGACGGTTGAACCACGTGCCGACAAAGACGACATGGAGTTTCTTCAGCTGTTTCTCATCAACTTGGCTGGCTTTAGAGCAGTACCCAGGGAGGTCATACATACAGTCGAGAATTTGGTCGGGTCCATACCTTCCGGTAGTTCTTGAATCTTGGGTCGAGGCGGGGCTCGCCTCACCGAAGTCGAGACGGACTCTTCGGACGTCGAGCTGCCCGTGTTCAAAGACATGGTCATGGTCATTGTCCACAAGAAAAGGCACAAGGCACAGGAGAAAAACGTATTACAGACACGGAACACCTAACAGCCATGGATACGATACCGGCCATCCATATAAATGTGAAAAAAAAAAACCTGCCGCCGTGATTCCTAAATAGACAGCGGGTTTACGCTCAGCAGCGGCGTAAAGGGCGCCGTGCCGGGTGCACGTCCGTGGATCGGGGGAGGGTCGCCTGCGACGTATCAAGCCTTGCAAGCGTACTAGTTGACTCAAAGGAGAAAGAGATTTCGTACGGCATCGTCCACTAGACAGTCATCGGCCCCACGGGTTCCACGAGCCTACAGGCAGTTGGCGTTGCAACAAGGAGGTCCTAGGCCCCTGGGCTCCTGGGCTCCTGGGCTCCTAGGCCCCCATCAGGCCCCCCCACACGCTGAGAGGCTGAGTCTACATGTACGTACGCCCTACGCCTTTGGTTTGGTACTGGGACGGCGGTGTCAGGGCGGATGACGATTGACATGATGAGACTTTGGCCAAGGGCGCAGGAATGACAATTCTGCACGGCAAAGTTTCTAGTGACATGACATGCCATGCCAGACCACGGTGGCTTTTCGGATACTCAACGGCGACCCTTGCTTGCACGTCCTGCCGATGATACCCTCTGGCTGCGATGGAGGGCTTGACACCTCTGCATCTGGACTCGCGGCTGCTGAGGGCTGCTAAAGCTCATCTCCGAAAGGTTTAGTTGTGTGTTGGAGCCCAATCAGCATCGTGTGTGAGGCCCAATGGGGCAATGAAAGGGAGGGGGAAAAAAGGTGAAAATTTGAGGTTGTCGAGGATCGTCGGCTTGCTTCGGCTTGATGAAGTGGGCGCCGTCTTCTCCACCGGTATCGGAGACCCACTTGGGTACCCGGCGGTGGGACCAGTGGGGCCGGATTTGCTCCACCAGGCGCGTCCGGCAGGGTTTCTCAGGCGTTACGGAGAGTTGTGCCCGGGGTCCCGGTGTGTTGCCGTGGTTGATGACATGTGGTCCTTCTCAATAAGACTGGCATCTTCCTGAAGCTTCTCTACTTCGATTGGGTCTCTGATCCTTGTCTACCTATCCAAGCATCTTGCTTCCTCGCATCACCATGCATACATACACAATCCTGGGGTATCAACCATTCGTACTCTACAACATCATAATCAACAACAACAACGCCGCCCTTGACACGTCTGCTCTGCTCACCCCTCTCCTCCGTCAGTAAAAATCACCTCGTCGGCAGGAACGCCTTCGAATCGCGGTCCTGCTGCTCAAACGACTGAGGAAATGCGGCGATGCCGGCGACCATGGCAGCGGCCATGAAACACAGACTGATGATGACCCAGATGACGCCCCAGCACTGCGATGAACCGCCGTAGCGACGAGCAAAGACGCTGGCGTCGGAGCTGTTGACCTTGCGCATGATGAGGTCGTCGCAAATGTCCCAGGCCGAGTACAGCGACGACATGACGCCGATGAAGAGCTGGCGACGATTAGTTTGATACCCCAACGCGACAGCAACGCACAAGGCGCTCGGGACTCACCACGACAAAGCGCAGGCCGTGCGAGTGCGAGATGAACCAGCTGCCGACGAGAACGGCGACGGCAAAGAGAACGGTCAGGATGGTCAGCCAGTCCCGCTTGCCCCACCACAGGGTCAGCAGGAAGCAGACGCCGAGGACGATGCTCGCGACCTTGCTGGCGTTGACGTGGAAGCCGCAGAAGATGAGCAGGGCGCCGATGAGCGAGGAGCCCAGGTAGCCGGCGGGCAGGGTGATGCTGCTCTTGCCGCCGAGCATCCTCGTCTCGCCGCCCTCGCGCGGGTCGAGGGTGATGCCGACGACCTTGCCGCCGGTGCAGACGGCGGCGAAGGCGTGGCCGAACTCGTGGAAGGCGATGGTCAGCATCTTAAGCGGCCAGAGGATGTAGCTGACGTAGGGAATGTTCCACAGCAGCGCGATGATGACCGTGTAGGCGGCGATGACGCCGAGGGTCACGCGCTGCGTGTGGTTCGTCGAGAGGTCGCGCCGGGCGTACGTGTTGTAGTGCGGCGACGGCGCGCCGGCGGCGGCGTCTTGGGATGCGGCGGCGGCGAGCAGGTCGCGGGCCACTGACCCTGCGGCAGCCCAGGCGGGATGCACCAGAGGCGCCATGGTGGTCAGGCTTGGTGGTCAGGTTTGATCGCGGGATTTGGCCCTGATGAATGGTACGAGGGCTGACGGTGCGGGGTTTGATGTTTGGGGTTCCAAGTGAGTGAACGAGATAGAGAAAGAGATGCAATGCGAGCGAGCAGCAATGAAAGATAGTGACCGTCAATCGGGAGCTCGACAGTGTGATGAAGTGCGATGCAATGAGAAGAGGCTGAAGATCGAGCCTGACTGTGGCAGGTGAAGGCAGGGGCAGGGGGGACCCTTAAAATGGCAGGGGCGCCACAAATATGCACGACGCGCGTACTTGTACGTTCCTCACGAGCGAGTCGTACGGGAGACGGGGGTGCAGCGAGGGTCTATTCTGTGATTGATGTGAAGAAGAAGAAAAAAACAAATACGAGAAGAGTCGTAAGCAGTGATGATGTGTCTTGGGAGAACGGACGGTCAAGGTCGTTGGAAGGAAAATCCTCGAAGGTATCAAGTCATGCGCCTGGTTTTAGGTGTTTGAGCTGCTTGCTGCTTGCTGGTCGCCATAGTGGCTGGGTCGTGGCGGTGTCGTTGGAACGAGCGACGAGGCAGGGACACAAGGCGTGTACTGCCGGCGCTAGGCTCGATGAGGCTGCCTGTTTCTCCTATCTTTAGGCTCATCACGTGAGTTGGCGCCTTGAGGACGGATCGTGAGAGGCTGGCAAAGGCTGGCAAAGGCTGGCCAATGAGGCGAGGTACATTACTTAGTGCCAGACAAGGCCGCCAGCCGGATTCCAGCCGCCAGCCAGATTCCATCCGCCCGTGCTCTTGGTCCTTCCCCCTCGAAGCTTCCAAGCTTCCAATCAGTCCCGATCTTTTGTCCCCAGAATGTCCATTCACCCATCACCAATTGACCTTCCCACTTGCACCACCATGCCCCTCCATCTCCCGTCATCGACCTGCCTAGCTGGGTAGGTGCTTCCCCCCTCCTGCTTTGCGCTTGTCGATGCTCTGGCACAGCATCTGAGAGCAAGATTCCCATGCCTCTGCGCACCATTCGGCCGAGTCAATACACCCCATCCATACCATCTTGCTTGGATGGACCTGGGTCCTCGATTGGCCCCTCTCTCGACCGCACGACCCTCTCCTCTCTGTCGAAAGCTCCTGCTGTATCACGACATGCCATCCGGAAGTATCCTCTTGGCACCCCGATACGGAAACAGCTCGACACGCACGCGATCACCTGTCTGTCCTGGTCCTGGTCCTGATCCAGGTCCTGATCCAGAAGGGAGGGGGAGGGAATCCATCGGCCGTCCAGCCAGAAGCGCCGCTATCGCCTAGCAGCCAGCCTGCGCCGGCATGGCTTCCGGTCGGATCGCGTGAATCGATGCCGTTCCAGCCACCCCGCGAATGAATGAAGCGAGAGAAAGATCGTCTGGACATCCCCGTGACACCGTACAGTGGTAGCGGCAGCGGCAGGGCAGCAGCAGCAGCAGCAGCGGCAGAATCACAAGCAAATACAGAAAGAGAGAGAGCACGCGGCACAGGCAGCACAGAGGCAGAAGAGGGGCGTGCCTTCCTTGGGTTGGCAAGGTTGGTTGGACCTCTACCCTCGACCAGACCTTGGAGACCTCCTCTCACTCCGACATCTCCAGTACTTGAAGCCAAGTTCCTCTTCCTTTGTCTCTGTTTGTCCCTGTTCACCATTCCCTACTCCAACTTGCTTTTATTGTCGCCTCGATCCCCTTCGACTCGACCGATGACTTGATCCTCTACACTAGCCTTATCTCCTGGTTACAGCAAAGACCCACAACCCGCATCATTGATTTCAAGCTTTCAAGCCCGAACCACAGGAGCTACCCGCTTTCTCTCCCTCTCCCCCCCCAAATCCACACAAAGTTCCCGTCACCCCCTGGACGCCACCCCCAGGTCTTCCCGAACCTGATCTGATCGGACCTGACGGCCAGCGAATTACCTTGTTCATATCCTTACCCATCCCCATAGCCAACCTGACAAGCTCCAATCCGGGCTTTCACCTTTGCGCCGAAACCGGGGCATCCACCCTCTGGATCAACATCACGCCTCTGCGTCAGCACCTCCGGTCGCCGGCCTACATCCTGGCGTTCTGCCATACTGCTATACTCCCATACTGCCATTCTAGGTATCTGACAGCTCCGTCTACCTTGCGCCCCCGTGAAAGTCGTTCCTCCCCCGCGAAGCTTGACCTCCGGCCGTTCGCCGTTCGCCGTGCGACCCTCAGATCGCCTCCGTTCGCCGTCTTGGGAATCCCCCGTGTCATTCGTCCTCCCCCCCCGCCTTCGGCCAGGCATCTCTCATCGCCCAATTCAGAGTGCGACCGTCTTCGCTGGCCCGCTGGCCCGCTGGCTGGCCTGCTGTAGAGGACGATGGATGCAGCCGAGCCCCAAGCCTGGCAGGCCTCCTCGTCGCAGTCGCCCCGTTTCGACGCCAGTCTTGAAAATGGTGTGTCATGATCTCCATCGCACTCCTCTCCCTTGATGTCATATCCCTGCTGGCTTCTCCGTGGACCCTTACGAAAGCAAGGCATTCACTGACTTGGGGCCATAGAAGAGGACCATGGTCCTTCCAAGACGACCTGCCATTTTGTGACATTACCTGCCGAGCTCCTCGACGCCATTCTGTCCCACCTCTCGCCAATAGAGCTCGCCCTCGTCGCCGGCACCTGTCGACACATCCACCTCCACGCCACCGCCGACAGACAATGGCTGCCTCGCGTCCAGGCCAACGTTCCCGGTCTCATCATCTCCTCACCATACCCATGTCGTACCTTCCGAGAGCTCTATGGCGCACATGACCCTCACTGGTTCCTCCCCAAGCACAAGATCTGGTTCTGCGACCGCAACCTCATGGGCAAGATCATCGTCGTCCGCTATGATCCTCGCCGTGGCTGCATCGAAGGCTACCAACTGCTCGCCGTCGGCCGTCGCCCTGCGTCGTTCCAGCCTTGGCCAGCCAACAACGACGTTCTCATTCATGAATTTCGGCCGCAGGTCAAGCTAC